ACACATCCCATACAGATGTTGCATTTTATACTTGCCAAGTGTTTTACAGGGTTCTAGTGAGCACAATGCAACAGTCAGTGATTTGAACTTGTGCTAACTCTCAAGAGTGCCCAGAGTCCTCTTCCCTTAGAGTGCAAGACCACCCAACCCTCTTGATTATGTGTTCTCACTGGGCCACACTTTGAATAGTTCAATTTTGCCAAGTGCATGTCACTGTTATATGTCCTACTCCCTCTTAGAAGAGGAACCCACTGATCAGATCAATTCAATTTCTCCCACCACCCTCAAAGAACACCTCAAACGAAACTCCTCTCATCTCTCTCACCAACCTGCTCTCCTTTCCAGCTTAATGTCAACATCTCTTCACTGAAGTCTTGAATGATGAAGCTTTATTCAAAACCCACCCTAACATTCTCCCCAGGGTGGTATTTAACTTCGTATTAACTAAGAAACAGCATTTCATTTCCCACTAACCCTGCACTTCTCACCCACTACTACTTAATTTCTTGGCCAACTCATACGTAATTCTGTGACTCAGAACAAGTCCTACAAAAACCCTATAATCAATCACATTTAAGGAGTTAGGTGGCCCACATCCCTTCCACACTTCACTATGTGCTTAGGGGTGAAAGCCTTTATCTGAACTTTCCCAGCATGTCCTCCAGGGGTTGTAAAAATTTCCAGTGGCAACGCATATGGGGAAGAGCAAGTTTCTCGTACCTGGGGTTTCCCCAGTACTCCAAAGGCACATCCTCACCTTCTCATCTATGATTCATTTCCAGGATTTTATTCATGTACCTTAAATGATTTTTGACCACCACAAACCCAAAACAACCATCATATTGGCACAGTTCTCCTTCTGATCCCTGAAAGAGCTTAGGGAGGTCACTGAAAATAGAGGCTTTGGTTGACCATGTCATTTCCAAACTGCTTTATATCCTTGGGCGAGCTGGCCATGGAAAGCAGTATTCATGAGGGAAGCTCTACAAAGGGAACTGTTTGAATTTCAAAGATATTACTCAATGTAATACCCAACTATCAAGGCATAATGAAAGGGAGGGAGTATCAAATTTGTTGTCATTATCAGAAATCTTTGAACTATAGCAGGCCAAGGGATAAGCGGATAGGGAAGGGAAGGGAGAACTTTTGGTGATGGCATAGAAGTAATGGACCTTGTAACAGCTACAATGAAGAGAATCAATATTCAGGTTACAGGAAGGTTAATAGATGGGTGAATGTAAATGTATTATCTAACTCTGCTGGTTTTCCCTGTCTTGGGATTTAAATTCACAGAACCATAGTACTTGAAAGATTCTTGGAACACTTAGTCCACCCCTTCATTAAACTGATAAGGAAAGTGCATTTCATAGTGGTTGCAGTTTGCACAAAGCCCACTTTAGTTAGCAGTGGAGTGAGAGAGAACAAAGGTCCCATTCTCCAGATGCCAGTATATTGCACATTCCAGAGTTTAATATCTAGTTCTTTAGTATCTGTACTGGTAAGATAGCATCTGGGTATTGTATAAAGATAAATGGAGTTGTTTTTTCTTTTTCCTTCTTGCTTCACCTTCTCCAATCTCCACCTTTCCTTTTTTAGGTGTTTCTTCCATGAAGAGTCAAGCATATTTCAACAAGACTGGAGAACTGCCATGCCATTTTACAAACTCTCAAAACATAAGCCTGGATGAGCTGGTAGTATTTTGGCAGGACCAGGATAAGCTGGTTCTGTATGAGATATTCAGAGGCAAAGAGAACCCTCAAAATGTTCATCTCAAATATAAGGGCCGTACAAGCTTTGACAAGGACAACTGGACCCTGAGACTCCACAATGTTCAGATCAAGGACAAGGGCACATATCACTGTTTCATTCATTATAAAGGGCCCAAAGGACTAGTTCCCATGCACCAAATGAGTTCTGACCTATCAGTGCTTGGTATGTAATCAAGGGCATGTTCAGATCCCTGACCTTCTCAGATGAGACTGCAATGAACAGAGAAATGTTGCAGGGGGTAGGGTTGGGGAGGTGAGAGGGGTGGGGGTGGTACCTGGAGAGAGAAGGCAGGGGCCAGCCATTTCTGGGAAGTCCATTTGAAGGGAAGGCAAGGTTTGGTAATAGGGAACTGAAAGTCCTTGTACTTTTTATAGATTGCTTCTGAAGGATCACCAAGAATCTGCTTTGGGGGCAAAATAGAGCTAACTGAACAAAGTTAATGTGGCCAAGGGAAAACCATGGGTAATTTGGCCATTACTAAGTTTACAAAGCTATATAGGCCTCAAATTTCTTTTATGTTCATTTTTTCCTTTGGTCCAAGATTTCTCACCAACTAAATCTTTGCCTAGAGCAACTAGCAAAGGTAATAGCTGATTGATCTGGGTTTTTTCTTCAACCACCTGGAGGTCACTTATGAGTTGTTTGCTGACCAACCAAGAGCCTGGTTGATGAAGGGAAATAACCCAGAACACATAATCCCCAAAAGTGACAATTCAGCTCCTCTTTTTTTCCAGGCCTTGAAAAGTCTACATATCGCTACAGTTTTTTTTATTATAATACAGTAAAATTAATTATTTTATTTTGATGCATAGCTCTGTTGATTTTGACATATGTATAGATTTATGTAACCACCACTACAAATAGGATATAAAACATTTTTGTCACCCTAAAAATTTTTCCTCATGCTGTATCACTTTATTATCATATCCTCTCCATATGCATAACTCCTGTTTGCATCCTACAGTCTTAACTTTTGAAAACGTCACTTAAATGGAGCCACATAGTACGTAACCTTTTAAGATTGGCTTCTTTTTTTCAACATAATGCCTTTGAGACTCATCTAAATTGTTGCATGTATCAAAAGCCTGTTGCTTGCTATTGCTGAGGAGTATTATATTTTATCCACTCAGTGTATGGCAAGACATTGGGTTGTTTTCAGTCTATTACAGTTGTTTTGGGTCTATTATAAATAGAGCTTCTGTAAACATGTACAAGTTTTTGTGTGAATGTTAAGTTTTCATTTCTCTCAGTTAGATACCCAGGTGTGAGATTACTAGATTCAGATTAATTTTTAATGAAACTGGAAAAGGCAGATCAACACTGATTTTGAAAACACAGAGTTAAAGCAAAGGCAAAGTAGAAATAGAATGATGAGTTGCTCCCTTTAAGCTTTATGTGATTTAAAGTAGGCTGCAGGACTTTTGGAACATTTTGTACACATGCTAAATCAATGTTTTTAAAGTATGGCCAGATACCATTGAGAAACATGGTGTGTTTTAGGTGGGACACAATCATTTTTCCAACCTGTGATTCCACAGATATTGTTAAGGAGGGCAAAGTAGGTAGCACCATGGCAACCCACTTTCTACAGACTCCATAAAGTATAGGCAGGGTACTTACAAAACTTACAAAAACAGGGTACTTACAGCAAAACTTACAAAGATGACATGCAAATCACTGTTAAAGGCAATCTACTAAATTATAAATTAGTATGTAGAACCTGAAAGCTACCCAGTGACTACTGAAGAAGAACAGGGATCTGGCTGGCAGAAGGGGCTAGGTGCCAGTGATCCTCAATGGCCACAGGAATCTGAATGGCAAACCAAGGCAGGGGAATCTCTGTGTTTATCAAGATCATATATTTTCCCTAAAAATGGCTGGGTTCGACCTTCATCTTGTACATGATGTAGAAAACTTGACAGTTATGCCCAAAACCAATATTCTGAATTTCTAAATCCAAAATCCCCATCCACTCACTTACCACTATCTTGCTTGGGGTTCTGGAAGATATGGCCCAGAGTATGCCAGCACCATAAACTCGGCTGGTGTCAATCCCTTTCTGCTTCCTTAGTCTGGCAAGCTGGAACGTACCCCACGAGACGGCTGAGTTCTAAAGTCACACCAGTTCTCCTTCCCAAGACTCCACTCTCCAGCACAATGGCCTCATTGTGAATCTTTGGTGACTCAATTTCAGCCCTCCTTTCACTCAGAGAGTACCCCCCCTGATTTGGGTAAGCTGGAAGTAAGCATAGTCCAAAACTCTATTCTTGAAAAATAAATGTGGGGTCATTATGAAGCTCTCACCATGGACTGAGGCCCACAATTTACACACCTGGAGGCTCCCAGATGTGCCCCCAGTGAGTTCCCAGATCAGAGCGTTATTTGCAGTTGTCTTCTAGACACATCTAAATTTAGACTGATTTCTTTTTTTTTTTTTTTTGTCTCTTTATTCTGCTTTCAGCTAACTTCAGTCAACCTGAAATAACAGTAACTTCTAATAGAACAGAAAATTCTGGCATCATAAATTTGACCTGCTCATCTATACAAGGTTACCCAGAACCTAAGGAGATGTATTTTCAGCTAAACACTGAGAATTCAACTACTAAGTATGATACTGTCATGAAGAAATCTCAAAATAATGTGACAGAACTGTACAACGTTTCTATCAGCTTGCCTTTTTCAGTCCCTGAAGCACACAATGTGAGCGTCTTTTGTGCCCTGAAACTGGAGACACTGGAGATGCTGCTCTCCCTACCTTTCAATATAGGTAAAACTGCTTCCCAAGACTATTTCTTTCAACAGGTATTATACACAAATGGTTGAGGCAGATCACTCAATGTGCCTTGCTTGCCAGGAAACCTCCAATGGGGTCATTTTTTGGTACTATTAGGGAGGACTCAGACAGAGGTCTCCTCTCAATCTGAGTGCTGCAGGGTCCCAGAAACTATGAACGCATGCTGCACTTGAGGAAGTATGTTCTTAGCCCAGTCTTTTGGGCTACCTTTGGATAGAATATTTTGAAATTCAGTCAGAAAATGCAAGATTCCTCCAGGCTAGAATTCTTCCATTCATTCATACACACAAACACACACACATCATACATACATTCATACATAACAGTACATGCTGAGTATAGAACCATTCTACACATTGTTGACTGCAGACATGAAAGCTGAAAGGTATAAGACATGCTCTCTGCCCTCAAGGACCTTCTAATAGAATCAGAACTCCATGATGTAAACACATGGAAAACTTGATTTTAAAAAGATTGGAATTAGAGTCTAAAGCATATCCCAAGGAAATATGTGACCAAATTTAAAAACAAGAATGACTGATAATCAGTTTTATAGACATTCAGAGGTAGGTAACTTCCTTGGGAATTCTTCCTAAAGGAAATGGGATCTTAAAAGATAACTGGGCTTTAAAATTATGGTGAAGAGATGACAGGCATCAGACTAGTGGTTTCCTAAACAGAAAGAAAAATTCTCAGCATCCAGGCTTAGAAGGTGAGAAGACCGGGGCACTTGGGTGACTCAGTCAGTTAAGCATCCGACTCTGGCTTAGGTCATGATGTCATAGTTTGTGGGTTTGAGCCCCATGTTGGCCTCTGTGCTGACAGCTCGGAGGCCGGAGCCAGCTTCAGATTCTGTGTCTCCCTCTCTCTCTCTCTCTCTCTCTGCCCTTTCCCTACTTGCACTCTGTCTCTCCCTCTCAAAAATAAACATACATTAAAAAAGAAAAGTGAGAGGACCACAATCAATTCACAGTATCTGATATGGGCACAGGTGGTGGTGTGGGCATATGCATCAAGGAAAGACTCAGAAGCAGAAGTTCTTGTGGCATGTTGACAGTATAGTACAGGGTCCAGTCTAGTTAGAGGAAAGGGCTGACAATAAAGCAGTGTCTGCTAATACGAGCCTGACATTTTAAAGTCTGGCTTTGCCCTGGAAGAAATGTATCCATATTTGAGACTTCACTTGTGAGGAGCAGTAACTCCAAGATTCTCTCCTGGAATAAAGGGACCCTGTACCCACACTGCCCTTATGGCTGCTTCTGATCCTGACCCCTTTTCCCACACGTCTGCCTTCTGCTTACCTTGGCCCCTTCTCCAATTCTCCCTTTTGGTTTTTTCCTCTTCTAAGGCATCCATTCAACTTCTTTCTTAATCCTCTAACCCTGCTGTTTCCTCTCTCCTGGTGTCTCATTGTTCAAACATAACTTGGTCCATGGACACATTCTTATGGACAGTCCTTGGGGCCAATAAGCTTTACCGGTGGCCCAATCCTTTCCTTCTACTGATTTCCTCCTGCTAAGACACTTCTGCCTCTGAGAGTCCAGTAAATAGGCCACATAGCCTGTCCTGGTTGCTTCACTGTAACCTCTGTTGGCCTAATAGTAGCCTCTCCTAAGCTATCCCTGAGGTTCAGCACCTGTTTGGAGCCAGCAATACCACCACACCTAACATGCCTTGGGGCCTTCTGCCATGGCTTCCTCTGCCATGCCTCCCACAGTCTACAAATGAACAGGGCATTACCACCACTGTAGCTTCATCATGTCTCACCTTTCTGCCGTTTCTCCACTACTGTCAAAACCTTCCCAGCTATCACCATATTCAGAAATGTTTTAGCTCTAGCTGCCTCAGGAAGCCAGGGCTTGCCTCTCTGTATCCCTGTTCTATGGCTTGATCAGAAATTGAGTAGACCCTGAATCAAGGAATCTTTTTGAGTGTCAAAAGGTAGCAGTCTCCATGTTATCAAGTATAACTTCTCTATACTGGGAATGCCAAACAGGCTCAAGTGGGATAAACTGGGACAGACTCAAAAAAGTGTTGAATATGGCCTGTAATGGCAGCAACTCCTTTTCTTAATGTCTTAGGAACAAGGTATGGATCCACAAATTGCAGCTAAACTAATAGGTCAGTGGTTCCTATTTGCCTGTAATTTGAGATTAACTATTGAAATCATTCCCATAAATTGTCTATAAAATGGGCCACTCAGTTATAAGCTTTCTCTCCAAAGTCTGTTTTTCAACTTTGTAGAAACTTAGAAGTCCCCATGCAGGAAAGAATGTCCTGACCTCCCAGGAGCTGATTCTAAACCGGTTTCCTCAGGGCATGAAAAGATATCAAAGGTTTTCTAGTAGGTGATACATTCTGAAAGCCCTGCTTTTTCCACTGTGACCTCAGTGGAAGAAACAAATAAACAAACAAGCAAAACTGGAGATAGGAAGCTGTTATATTTGTCCAAGTGAGGTATGTCTGACACCTGATCTACAGATGATAGTGGATGGAAAAATTATTATAAGGGAAACTTCAGGACCCCAGGGCTTGACTATGCCTGGGCTGAGGAAGCATGCTGCTGCACAGATGACTATACATTCAAAACCTTCAGCATGGGTACCATATCCATGCACAGAACCAAGGGCCAGTTTGACACTCTTCTTCTGGATCACAGCCCTTGTCATCCCAACCTCTGGGAAGAGAAGGTAGCTTAGTCCAAGCATTTGGCCAGGAGCAATGGCTTGGTTCTTAGCTGTGAGGCCCTGTGACTCGGGCTTTCTATGGCTTCAGATTGTGGATTTCAGGCTCCTCTGGCAGTAGAACCCTGGGGAGATGTTGACTTGTAAATGAAGACAACAGTAATTATAAACCTTTTATAATCAACCTTCCTGGCTGATTGAAAACTTGTGGTCATTTCTAGATGCACAACCTAAGGATAAAGACCCTGAACAAGGCCACTTCCTCTGGATTGCGGCTGTACTTGTAATGTTTGTTGTTTTTTGTGGGATGGTGTCCTTTAAAACACTAAGGAAAAGGAAGAAGAAGCAGCCTGGCCCCTCTCATGAATGTGGTGAGTCAGTGCTTGTCCTCTCTACAGATTGCTATTTTGCAGCTACCTCCTGATCAGCTGCCTTCTGGAGCTCATTGACTGAGCTCAGACTGGCAAAAAGTCAGCAAGTGGCTGGAGGAAAAGGTTTTCCCTCAGAGTTTGTAGCCCATATAGATGGGACTCAACATTGCTCTGGATTTCTAGGAGAGGCAACATTTCTAAGGTTTACAAAAGTACTTCTGGTTTCCAGACAAAGCTGATTATTCCTTGCTTTACCTACCTCACTTCATGAGTTCACTGTGAACATTTAAATGAAGTAAAATGGTGAAAACACTTCTAAATGTTAGTGATTATGGACCTGGCAGAGTTCAAGCAGGGAAGCTTGGTGGGAGGAGGGGAGAATTAGATGACCATAAGATTCACCTTCTCATCTCTAAAAGTCTAGGTTTCTGAGGAAAAGAAAGTGGGATGAATTGTTCCCCCTTGACTTGTTAAAATAATATTATTATAAAAATAATAATAAATAAAATATAATATAAAATAATATTATAAAAATAATATTAACTTTTATTGATTACCAAGTATTACATACCCATTACCAATTATACTGAAAGTAAAAATCATCTATAGTTCCACAAGAAAGAGTTATGTAGACAACATTTTGGTGTATATATTCCAGATTTTTCTGGAATCTATGTTATTTTCCATAATTGGAATAATATTATAGGACTGTTTTTCACAGTTTGGATAATACCACATGTACTGTTTTCTAACTTATTTGTACTAAATGTAGCAAGAAAATTTTTAATGTCAGTAAGTATCATTCTATAGCATCATTTATTTTTTTTCTACAGCATCATTTTAAATGGCTGTGAGATATTCCATTTTGTGGATATACCTTAATTTATTTAACTAACTCCATATTGGTAGACACCTAGGATGTTCCCATAGTTTTGCTATTATAAATAGCACTGCATTGAGCAGCCTCCTCATTGACTTTTATAAAAGTGGCCCTGTGCTTAATGGGGGACAAAGTTGCACCTGGCTTTATAATAATCTTATGCTTCTTTGTGGTTTGGGCTGGTTTGGGCAAAGTTGTAGAGTAAGGTTGGACTTTATATCAGTAATGCCTGTAGTAGAAGTTTGGTTGGTGGTAATAATTAGGTAACCTTCTTACTCACTTTGGTAAAAAGCATCAGATGAGTAAATGCTTCAGATCAGCATCTTATTTAAGATTTCAGTATACTGATTTCTTTTTTAATGTTCACAAATGATTTTATTTATTTATAATTTTTAATTTAAATTTTAGTTAACATACAGTGCAATATTGGTTTCAGGAGTAGAGTTCAATTAGTCATCACTTAAATACAACACCCAGTGCTCATCATAAGTACCCTCCTTAGTACCCATCACCCATCTAGCCCATCTCCCACCCACCTCCCCCTGTCAATTCACAGTTTGTTTTCTATCATTAAGAGCATCTTGTGGTTTGTTTTCCTCTCTCTCTTTACTCCCTTCCTTCCCATATGTTCATCTGTTTTGTTTCCTAAATTCTACAAATGAGTGAAATTACATGATATTTGGTATTTGTCTTGCTCTGAGTGACTTATTTTGCTTAGCATAATATATTCTATGTCCATCTACATCATTGCAAATGGCAAGATTTCATTCTTTAATGGCTGAGTAATATTTCATTGTATATACATATCACATTTTCTTTATCCATTCATTAGTCAATGGACATTTGGGCTCTCTCCATAGTTTGGTTATTGTAGATAATGCTATTGTAAACATTGGAGTGCATGTACCCCTTCAAATCTGTATTTTTGTATCCTTTGGGTAAATACCTAACAGTGCAATTGTTGGATCACAGTTTAGTTTTATTTTTAGCTTCTTGATGAAACTCCATACTGTTCTCCAGAGTGACTGTACCAGTTTGCATCCCACCAGCAGTGCAAGAGGATTCCCTATTCTCTGCACCCTTGCCAACACCTGTTCTTTCTTGTGTTGTTAATTTTAGCCATTCTGACATTCAGAAGAGCATGGGACTCTTAAGATTGTGAGTTTGAGGCCCACGTTGGGTATAGAGATTACTTAAATAAATAAATAAATAAACTTAAATAAATAAATAAATAAATAAAATTTTGGGTCACCTGGCTGGCTCAGTCAGTGTACTGATTATAAGATCCACTAGAAAATAGATGGATAACATTAGCAGTCATTCATTGCATCCTATTATGTGTATTTTTTTAAGTTTATTTATTTATTTTGAGAGAGAACAAGAGGGAGAGCATGAGCTGGGGAATGGCAGAGAGAGAGAGGGAGAGAGAATCCCAAGCAGGCTCTGCACTGTCAGCAGGGAGCCTGATGCAGGGCTCAATCCCACAAACTGTGACATCATGACCTGAGTGGTAACCAAGAGTCTGACACTCAACTGACTGAGCCACCCGGACAACCCATCATCCTGCTATATTAAAACAAAACAACACAGGAAATTGGGGACTGATTATCCAATTTCAATAAATGAATACTAAGCCTATGGTAGAGTCATTCAAACCACCAAAGTATGTAGTGTGCTGATATAATAATAGATTTCTATGATATGAAAGTGTAAAATTCAGAACACAGGGTCAGATGTAGAGATATATCGTGGTTATCAAAGCTTTGACTTCTCAAGGTGACAATTTTGAGCTTTTTCTTTCAATCTCATTGCAATTTAGAATTAGCTAAATGTGCAGAAGCAGGCTTCAGCTTGAAAATAAGCTGTTTCCTAAATTTTCTTTTACTTTGGAATGATTAGCTCACAAATGAAACAAAGAAGAAATGGAGAAAAGGAGAGTAAGAATGTTTCTTCCCCCAAGAGGAAATCAGAAAAATTCAGGAGAATAGACTATAGAGTTAAAGAGGATGTGTGTGTATACATGAAAGAAGTTGAAAGGGCGTTCAAGAAGCTTTGTATTTCAAATGACAAGATTTCCTTCTTTTTGATGGCTGAGTAATATTTCACCACATCTTCTTTATCCATTCATTGTATATACATGTCACATCTTCTTTATCCATTCATTAGTCACTGGACATTTGGGCTCTCTCCATAGCTTGGCTATTGTTGACAATGAGGCTAATGGAGGGAGATGAGTGGGGGATGAGCTAGATGGGTGATGGGTATAAGGAGGGTACTTGTTATGATGAGCACTGGGTTTGTATGTAAGTGATGAATCATTGAATTCTACTCCTAAGACCAGTTTTACACTGTATGTTAACTAACTAGAATTTAAATAAAAATATGAAAAGAAAAAAAGCTGTGTGTATGCATATGAAATAGTCAAACTGAGCTATGAATGATAAAAGGCAGAAAATAACAAGAGAACATAGCACATATATGACCTCTTCCTCCCAAGAATGTGATAAAGAATATTTCTAGGGAAAGTTTGATCAGACAATCACCTGTGCTAGTGAGTTTGGTCAAAGAGAAGAGTCTTGATATCACTGGAGGAGGACATGTTCCAAGTAACCATGCTATGTAGATGTGTTTGTAAATTTGGGTTCTGTAGTTCAGCAATGTCTGCACGTTGCCTTGTGGATACCTCTGGCACTGCCTATATGATAGACTAAACAATGTCCCCAAAAAGATGTCCACATACTATTCACAGAACCTATTATGTTATCTCACATGGCAAAAGGGACTTTGCATATGTAACTAAGGTAATGACTTTAAGATGGTGAGATAATCCTGAATTACCCAGGTGGGCCCAATTTAATCACATGAGTCAGAGTATCTTTCCCAGGCTGGGTTAGAGGGATGAGATGTAAGAAGGAGAAATCCAAAGGTTGAGACAGACTTAACCCATCATTGCTAGCTTTGAAGATGGAGAAGGGGCCATGACGCAAGGAATGTGGGTGGCCTCTAGAATCTGCAACTGGCCCTCAGCTGAAAGCCAGCAAGGAAATGGAGATCTCAGTCATAAAACCACAAGGAACTAAATTCTGCTGACAAATAGACATGGAAGCAGTCATGATCCATCCACAGAGACACAAACTTACTGATAACCAGTAGGAATTTCTCCAAAAATGGAGATTCCTCCTAATCCAATATTAATCTGTTTCTCAGAGGAGACAGCCCTCTAGCTAAATAATTTGGCATCAGAAGTCTTTTCCAGTGTTTGTTCGGTAATTATACTTTTTCTATGCCCCAACCGTCCAGATTTACTCTGTTCAGGCTGTTAAATGAATAAAAGGGAAATGCCACAGTTCTTCTAGCTGGTTTCTAATCTCTCTTCTCTTTTTTGATTTGTCAAACAAAGCAGATTAGGCATGAGAAATTGTAACCTTGAACTACTGTCTTTTCCCAATCAGAAGTTACCCTATCAGCTTACCCATTGGGGAGAGAGACTAAAAATAGCTCCTCCTGAAGTTTTACTTCCTCATTTGGGTCTTGTGTGACTGAAATCTGTATGTAATAGAGCCCTAGCAACCAACAGTTTTTACAGTTTGCCTCCCTCCACCAAACCTGGAAGAGTCTCAGCTCTTTCAGGAATGATTTCTTAAAGGGCAAGTGTCTTTTCTGAAATAAATAATTTTAACCACTATTTAGACAGAAACCTTCACAGGACTTAAAAACTGAAAGTTGGTGATATCATCACATCTGGCCTTCAGAATGCTAAATTTGTAATCAAATACACAAGATTAGAATCTGCTTTTTTGTTGTCCGCTTTCATTTTAAAATAGAAGCTTTTTTTTTTTTTTAAATGGTGATGATTTTGTCATGGGTATGAAAGGACAATATAAATATTCTATGTTGGTCCACAGGCATCTGAAAAACTGTATTCAGCTATAAGCATTATTTTTAAAAAAGGAACCTTGACAAAAACAAAACCTAGCCAGATATATAAAGTGTCTAGAAGTTCAGTCAAATAAGAAATAGTTCAAGTAACTGAGGATGCTTAGCCAGAAAGGAAGCTTTGGGAATGGGACAGGTGTTCCCTTCAAATATCTGAAGAACTGCCATAGAGTACAAATATCATACTTAACTGTGGCTTCAAAGGGCATCTCAGTGCATGATTATAAGAAGATGTAAGGAAATATGACTGAGTTGTAAAAGTTAAAAATTTTTTTAATTTATTAAATTTTTAAAATTATATAGAAGATATAAACTTCTTCCTCCCATGTAGGATGAACTGCTACAGGAATTTCCCTCATATTGTAAACAACTGGAAATCAGACAAAATATGAGACTGTTTTCAGACTTTGGACAACAAGCTGTAGAAAACTGTAATCCCTGAAAGAAGGGAAAAGATGAGATGAGCTGTATGATTGCCCCCAAACTACTACTTAAAGTCAGTTTCCAGACTGCTCTGATAAGGAAAGAAAACTACACATATGCCTTGGGAACATAAATGGCCAAATGCTTTACAAAATTACCAACTAAAGTCTAGCAATATATTAAAAGTATGATACATCATGATCAAGTGGGGTTTATTCCAGGAATATAAGATAGGCTCAATATTAACAAATCAAGCAATAAAATTCACCATATTGGCAAACCAAAAAGAAAAGCCATGTAATCATGTCAGTGGATACAGATAAAGCATTTGGCAAAATTAATACTCATTCATAATTTTCAAAAAGAAAGAAAAACTCTCATAAAAGTAGGAATATAGAGGAACTTCCTCAGCCTGACAAAGGACATATACCAAAACCTTCAGTTAACATCATATTTAATGATAAAAGACTGACTGTTTTCTCCATAAGATCAGGAATGAGGAAAAGATACCACATTTAAATGTATTATATTTATTCAAAATTTTCTTGGAGGTCCTAGCCAGTGCAAAATCTAGAAAAAGAAAGAAAAGCCACATGTGTTGGAAAGGAAGAAGAAAAACTGTCTTTTTTTCAAAAATAGCATGATCATGTTTATAGAAAAGCCCAAGGCATCCATAAAAAGCTATTAGAACTAATTGTGTGTAGCTAAATCTCAAGATACGAAGTCAATACACAAAATCAAAATCAGTTGTATTTCTACATACTAACAACAAACAAGTTGGACACTGAAAAAAATTTTAAATACCATTTAAATACAAATGCTACTGTAGCATCAAATAATATTAAAAGGTTAGGAGTAAATTTTTAAAAATAAGTACAAGACCTGTACACCAAAAACTGAAAAATACTACTACTGACTAAATTAAAGTAGGCCTAAATAATTGGAGAAATATGCCATGTTCATGGATCAGAAGAGTAGATATTAGGATATCAGTTTGGCCCAAAGTGATCTGTGGATTCAATGAGATACCAACCAAAATACTGGCAGGCTGTTTAGTGGAAATTAAAAAGCTAATTTTAAAGTTATGTGGAAGTGTGAAAGACATACAATTGCCAAACAATTCTAAAAAACAAGATAAAAATGGACGACTTATACTACCTTATTTCAAGATTTACTATATAGCTATAGTAATCAAGACAGCGTGGTATTAGTGAAAGCACAGACATACCAACCAATGAAACAAGAGGGATAATCAAAAGGTAAACTCATATGGTCAACTGATTTGGACAAAGGAGCTAAGGTAATTCCATGCAGAAAAGGATAGTCTTTTCAACAATGGTTTGGGGACAATTAGATACCCACATGGAAAAATATGAACCTTGACACACACAACATAACTTGCAATGGATCATAGACCTAAAAATAAGAGCTAAAATTAGAGATTTTTAAAAATCAGAGAAAATCTTTTTGATCTTAGGTTAGGCAAATCTTAGATAGGATACAGTAAGCACAAAGTAAAAATTGGGGGCGCCTGGGTGGATCTGTCAGTTAAGCATCTGACTTCGGCTCAGGTCATGATCTCATGATTTGTGAGTTTGAGTCCCATGTCGGGCTCTGTCCTGACAGCTCAGAGCCTGGAGCCTGCTTCGGATTCTGTGTTGTGCTCTGTCTCTCAAAAATAAACAAATAAATATAAAAAAAAACAAAAAAAAGTAGAAATTGATAAACTGGACTTCATCAAAATTAAAAAACTTTTGCCCTTTGACTTTGTTAAAAAAATTAAAAGTCAAGCCACAGACTGGGAGAAAATGTTTCCAAATACATATCTGAAAAGAACTTATATACTATATATCCAGAATATATAATTATAAGTTACTACCTAGTAAAGAAGACAATCCATTTAACAAAAGGCTAGGAGCAAAAGACTTGAACACATACTTCATAGAAGAAAATATACAAATGGACAATGAGCACAGTCAGACAGTCACAACGCCATTAGTCATTAAGGAAATACAAATTAAAGCTATAATGAGATACCACTACACACTCACTAACATGGCTAAAATTAAAGGTACTGGTAAATATCAAGGGCTGGAGAGGATGTGAAGCAATTGAAACTCTCATGCACTGCTACACAACCCAGAAATCTTAGATATTTACCCGTGAGAAATAAAAACATATGTCTACACAAAGATACATACACAAATGTCCATAGCAGCTGAAATACTGAAAGTCTGGTATCCTAAATTTCCATCAGTTGGTAAATGGATAAACAAATGGTGGTATATTCATACAGTGAAATACTGCTGAGCTATAGAAAGGAACAGACTACTAGTAACATGCAACATGTATAAATTCAAAAGAAGTATGCTAGGAGAAAGAGACCAGGCACAAAAAGACCACACGACCACGTACTTATGATCCTTTGGAATTATGAAATTTTAAAAAAGCAAAACTATTGTGACATTAGCCAGATCAGTGGTTATCAGAGGATGGGATAGGGGAAAATATTGACTGAAAAGGGGCAGGAGGGAACTACTGGGGCTTATATAAATGTTCTATATCTTGGTTATGGTGGTAGTTACTTGACTGCATACATTTGCTAAACTCATAAAAATCTATACAGACAATCACTGGATTTTGTTGTATATTAATTATCCCTCAATAAAGCTGATTATCTTTAAACACACACATACACACACACACACACACACACACACACACACACACCAGAACTGCCAATGCTAGGAAGTGTTAAAACCCATCAAGGGTATTGTTTTACTCCCTAAAGTTCTCTATGGACATCCAGGTTAACCATCCCTGTTGCAAGATTCTGAGACAAAAGCACTATCACAACAGTCAGCCTAAAGGAATTCATACTCCAAGTTGCATCAGTGGTAAGCCCATATCAGTAGCAACTCAGGCTTTGGGAGATCTAGCCAGCTAGAGATTTCCCATTTAGGCCCATCCATGCCACATTGTATAATATTGGGTAGTGCCAGCTGACTCAACCATTTAGGCATCAACATATTCAGGATTTCCTTTTATTCCTTCTTCTAAACCTTTACTTTCAGAAAAGGATTGAAAACTTTTCCAATCACTAAATGATTGCTAAAACTAAATGTGTTACCCCTCCCAGTATTATTTTTATTTTAGTAAAGGGTAGAGCTATATGTGAAAAGTCTATTTCCAATATTAGAACTTAAGACACAGTGAATACAGGAAAGCATTTGCTTTTTGGATGCAAAAAAACGCCTTCTCAGTCCCCCTGAAATTGCATCAAGTAACCATCTTTTCCACGTGTATAGGCACATGATTTCTCTTTGAGTCCTAGGACTGGATTCTCTTCAAACTTTCCCTCGTTTAGTGTCTATAAGGCAATACATTTTCTAAAGTTGTTTTGGTCTCTTTCAGAAACCATCAAAGGGGAGAGAAAAGAGAGCAAACAGACCAACGAAAGGTGAGTCTTGACCTTACAACATTGCTGAAAGAGGTACCATCTCCAGAGAATTTATAACTTGACCATCAGTTGAATCTGAGGCATGCTGAGCCTACTTAGCAAACATGAACGAATGAAGAAAGAAAGGAAAATGAGACTAGTCAGGATCTGGAAGGAAATGTTCTAGCTATAAATGGATGGCAGGATGTCCAGTACACAATGCTCAAGGGACATGGCAAGCTCAGTCATGGTAAAGTAAAAAATTAACACCAAAGGTGGTCTGTGTGGTGTGTGTGTGCTGTATACAATTCACATGGTAACCTCGGTACCTATCACGATGCCTGGACTAGTGGGAATCCTACATGTATGGAATGAATAAATAAGTGAGGAGAGATAACATGTTCCCTGTAACTTCAGTGTCTTTGCATCTGCTGTGCCGTCTACTTGGAATGTTCTTCTGCCACTTCTTTACTCATTCTTCACATTTTGGTTCGAGCTGCACTTCTAAAAAACCCATTCTTAAGCTAGATTATGCTAACCTGTTATAGAATCATATGGATCCCTATGCTTTATCTTCATAACACCAGGCAATACTTACATTTTTGTGCAGTTACATTATTAACCTCTGTGAAGTACACACTTATGGAGGGTACAGACCATAACAGTTAAGCTTATCATTGTGCTGCTAGCACCCAGCTCAGTGCCTGGCATATAGTAGGTGCTCAATAATTTTTTTCTATTATGAAACTATAGTAGCAGATATTTTTTAATCCATAGAAAGTAGCCTTTTTATAATACTAACAATTTTCTATAGTTATAATTTTCATGGCATCTACCGATTTACAGATAATGGGATGTATTCATAACATTTACATGGTAGTGATTTGGTAAATATATAACATGTTGAAAAAGAGTTTCATGGAAAAGTAAATGCTATTCATCAGGGCTTAGTTTCTCTTACATTTGCTTTCAGCTGAGCAGTATTATAAGTTGTTTGATTTTTATTTTTTCATTTATTTGCTTTCTTTCTAGATTTTTTACGTAATCAAATCTAAATAAGCAATCCTATATATGACACAGGGGAAATGTGTATATCCTTTTCTTTATATTATCTTTTGTCCACATACTAGGGGCTAAAGTAGACAAAATATGGTGAAGTGCTTTTTTATTAAGAGTTCAAGTTTTCAGTTGTTTTTAAATTCAATTTATTCAAACTAAAAACAAAAACAGTCCATCCATGTTGTCACAAATGGCAAAATACTCATTCATTTTTATGGCTGAATCATATCCCATTGTATGTACATTACCACAATTTCTTTATCCATTCATCTATCAGTGGACACTTAGGTTTCCATATCTTGGCTATTGTAGCAAATATTTGTTGACAGAATGAATGTATGCATGAAGAGTGCATAAGGATTCCTGGTGATGAGTTCTTTCACAACATGATGAAATCAGATTATTTGTACTCCATCCTCCCTGAGAAACAGGGCTCTCAAGAATATCAAGGCTCTGGCCACACAGTCATAGGGTCAAAGCAATCCTAAGTCAAACACCTGGTCACAAAGATACAGTCATAACCCCAGGATGCACGGCCCCCAGAGTGCTCAGCATTGACCTAATGCATAAGCTGCTGTGAATCTAGGAATCCTGGATGATGAGCCCAGGTGCTAAGATGTTGCCTGTCCTCACAGACCCAGTTCAGAAATAGCCAGAAGAGCCTACAGAGAGAAGGCAGCAAGGAATCAACACATGGCAGGGGCAGGCCCAGATTAAAATAAAGGATAGTTAATTGAAGGAAGCATGAACAGCACATCCCCTTCTCTCTCTTCAATAGTTTGTTTCTCCTTATTGCTATTGCAGTGGCCCCCTATGTTTCACCCTGTCACTGAAATCTAGAAAAATAAAGTGGCTGTATTGTGAAATCTCACCCAGTTTTTTTTCTTTCTGTTTTTCCAGAGTACCATACCACGTACCTGAGAGATCTGATGAAGCCCAGTGTGTTAACATTTTGAAGACAGCCTCAGGCGACAAAAGTACTACACATTTTTAATTAAAGAATAAAGTCCATATAACTGTCCATTGTTTATATGCCTTTCCCTTCAAGTTTTGGGCTTACCTTTTTTTGTCTATTAATATTATTATTACCATTAATAATAGTGGAGGTTCCAGGATTCCATCTGAGAAAGCCACCCTGTAATGCCAGCTCTGCTCCCTACCTCAGGAGCAGACCTTAACTGCTTCTTTTCATTTCAGAGCAAATTTGTGCGCCAAGCTCACCTGACTGGCTCCTGGCTCAGGAATAATGTTTAAGACTAACACCTCCTGTTTCACATTCAGCCTTCTTTTCTTAATTTTATAAATTGCGTTTTATGTAGAACTCCCAATTACTGGAATAATGGCTTTTATCTATGATAATTCTAAGGTAGTGCCTCATTCTATCTTGTATATTTGTGACTGAATAACTACCTCTTCAGTCTTGTGGGAGCTATATATTTTATGGCTTTTATAGTATTGCTATTAATATCTTGAAACATAAAGAGATGTGGACTATAATAATGTAATTACTATGCCCTGAGAAAATCACTGCTGAGGAGCTCTTGTCCCTCTGTGAAGATCAGTAGGAAAATGGTGGCTTGGCGTGCTGACAATGATGAGCAGACCAACTCAAAATTTGGAAAATTAAGAACAATGAAGATGGAATCAGCTCTGGATCCTGGATCCACTTCTATCTGGGCCCTTGCTAACCTGAGAAGGATCCGCCTGCGGAACAAGCTATAGATAAGCCTTAGCAGAGAACACTGGGTCAAGCACTGCGCATTGTGAACCTACTTCTCTTCTTGAAAGAAATGACTGAGACGATGATCCAGGGCAACTATGCAAGAGCCAACTGAGAGATCACAACACTCAAAAGAGAAAAAAAATGAAAGATCTTGACAACAGAGATGCACATGAATGTCCTGTCTGTCCAGTCCTCTGACAAACCTTGGGATTAGCAACAGGTAGACAGTCTGTCCAAAAGGACTTAAGACAGACAGCAGCTTCCATGGTGGTTGGTGAGAAGTTTGGATAATAATCAAGTTATTGTGATGTTTCATCTGGCTGCAGGCAGAGCAGGGGAGGAAGAGCTATCATCTTGATAATGGGATAAATGGAAGGAAGCTTAGGACTCTTTCAACTTACTTCTGAGACACAAAGAGCTAGATTGGAATCAGGAGGACCAAGATGTAAATCATCTAAAGGCCAACTTAGCTGGCAGGTGCCCTAGGGAGAGATCAGCTGGCCAAGAGCAGGGCTGGCAAATTTATATCTGAGGACTGTCTATATGTCATTATAAATGATGGGGAAACTGGGTACACGAGAGGACTATACTAGCCCAGTAGAGATGAGTCAGATGACCCTGGCTCTAAAGCAGCATCACTAAGGGACGAGGCAGCCTCAGTCCAAACCAAGAGAGAACTTTGGGAGGCCCAACCCACAGAAATATTTCTTCTTATTCTACATAAAGGAATCTAGAAGGTTGCAGACAGCTGTACTAGCCATGCTTGTCCTTGTAATATTACCATTTGTGTGTTCTTCCCTGCATTTGCTTCATTAGGCCATAAGCATCTTGTTGGTTTCTAACATGTTTCGTATAGTGAGTTCTTAATAAATTTTTCTTAAATTGATTTAAAAGTCTCCATTTTCTGCTTCTACTTCAATGGTACTACTCAACCCTTGTAGTCTGATATTACTTCCTCTGTCTTCCTAATGTACTTTCTCCCTCTTAATGTCTCTACGGAAGCCTCATTCTCCAGTCAGCTAATGGCCTCTGACTCATCCCAAACCCTCCTCTTCCCCTTTCCCTAACCATTGCATAAGAAAAGGGGGCTTATATGATTCTATATGTTTATCTCAGTCATGAGACATAAAAAATCAAGTAAGGGAGGTTCTTTCTGAGGACAACTAGGAAGTTTGGAGTTAGGGAAGGGATACTTGGTTTTCAGTTTGTAACTTTTATATTCTGTAATTTTAAATTATGTGCTCATATATACATTAAACAAAATCTTAATGTAAAATATTCCTTAAAATACCCTGATTATAAGATAAATGCATATAACTGTATTGTATATTTGTAAAGTTGCTAAGAAAGTAAATCTTAAAAGTTCTCACTGCAAGAAAAAAAGTTTGTAACTATATGTAGTGATGGATGTTAACAAAACTTATTGTGGCAATCATTTCACAATCTATACATATATCAAACCATTATGTTGTACATCTAAAATTGGTAGAATGTTATATGTCTATTATATCTCAACTAAAAATGAATAAATGCATACACACACACATATATGTATATTCACTTAGCATATAGCATGCACTTAGTATATATTGCTACATGTGAGATGACCCAAGGAAATTCTGGGAAAAAAAAACCTCTAGGTTCTGTGAGGGCAGCAATGTGTCTAATTTCTTTACCAATGAATCCTAGGCACCTAAGAGTACCTCAAAACTATTTGTTCAAAGATTGAATGAAACATTAATGTGCCTCTGGTGAAAACATCCTTCCTCTGTATATTAAATTCTCCATATTTTCTGTGTTCCAAGTCTGGGGGAAGAAAAGCCAAGAACAGTTAAAAATGTCATTAAGTATAACACTACTAGTTAACATTACTGGTATTTACCTTGTATCAGGCACTCTTCTAAACTTTTAAACTCATTATCTCATTTATTCCTCACAATGACCCTGTGAGGTATCGGGATATAATGACCATTCTGTTGATGAAGAAACTTACACATAGAGTGGTCAAAGTGATTAACCCAAGGTCACTAAATTCGTAAGTGACAGAGCTGGGGGAAGTTTTGCAAAGCATCAGCCCCTCTGCCCCTTTGCTTCTCAGCCATAGAAGAAATACCATTTTGGTTGGTTGAGTGCCTACAGCACATTTTGCACTACACTCCCTCAACCCTCTGAGGTGGTGCCTCCCACCACCAGGATGCATCACTGAGATTTCCAGAAGCCACTCCATCATCTCACAAGACCAGAAGCTGTGGATGATAAGACACATGATATGACCAGCAAAAATGAGTTTTGGGTCAGAAGGAAAGCAAACTACAACTTCTGCCTCCAACTCCTCCACCTCTACCCCTGCCACTTATTCTTTTGTAATCCACCCTCCTCAGTGTTCTCACGGTGTTCTCAGATTTGTTAAGCTGGGCTAGAAAGCAAAGAGTCATCTCTGACCACTGCCCTCCAGCCTCTCCCTCAGTACCTACTGCCACCCCACCTTCCTGCCACATTTGGTTATCACAAGACCAGGCAAGTATTCTTATGACTTCAGCACCCACCCCTTCTTTTCTCATTCAGGCCCTTATTTCCTCAATTCAAGAACATGACAATCTCTACTGATCCCAGTCTGTTGTCTCTCTTACCCTGCATTCTGTCCAAAACATTAAAAGAAACAAGGAGATAAATAGTGAAGAAAAGGTCTCCTCACATTTCTTTTCCCTAGCCACACAGAGACAACTATGATCTCCAGGTTCTTATGTATCTTTCCATAGACACACTATGCCTATTTATAAGTGTGTGCGCACACGTGTGTGTGTGTGTACATATTTTTCCCCTTATTCAGGCAGATTTGGTTTTATTCTTTTTTTTATTTTTTTATTTAAAAAAAATTTTAATGTTTATTCATTTTTGAGAGTGAGAGAGAGACAGTGTGAGAGGGGGAGGGGCAGAGAGAGAGGGAGACATAGAATCTGAAGCAGGCTCCAGGCTCCGAGCTGTCAGCACAGCGCCTGACGCAGGGCTTGAACTCGCAGACCGTGAGATCATGACCTGAGCTGAAGACGGACAACCAACTGACCGAGCCACCCAGCACCCCAGATTTGGTTTTATTCTACACCTAAGCAAACAGCCTAAACATAAGACCCTTGCTAAGATGATTAAGAGAGACACCTGTCTTCAGTATAATCCTTCATATTAAAAACATATTACTATATTGGCTTTCACTCTCACCCATATGCCAGCATTACTGTGGATCTTATAATAAAAGTGAGATCCCATTGGCTTTTACCACATCTGCCTGTTAACTCCAGAAGAAAAAAATACTTAACAGATATGGAGTCCTGCACTATCTTTAGACACAAATTTTGAGCCTGTTCCAGTTTGAACAAGTTATACCCTAGGTCTGATGAACAACAGTCACCCTGAAATGTATCTCCCATTTATTGCATTTCATTTTTTGTTTCTCTTCTTTAATATTTATTTTGAGAGAGAGAGTGAGAGAGAAAGAATGGGGGAAGGGCAGAGAGAGAGGGATAGAGAGGATCCCAAGCAGCCTCCATGCTGTCAGTGCAGAGCCTGATGCGGGTGTGAAATCATGACCTGAGCCGAAATCAAGAGTCAGGTGCTTAACCAACTGAGCCACCCAGGTGCCCCCATTTTTTATCTTTCTGGATTTACTCCCTCTCTTTGGTGGTACATATCCACCAGTAGCTTTCTGAGAAAGGATATATAGGAAATTAATGATATTTTGTGTATCTAAAATGTCTTTACCCTATCCTCCTCTCCTCTCCCACTTAATTAATCACTTGGCTTGATATGGAATTTTAGATTAGAAGTTATTTTCATTGTCTCTAGTTTTCAGTGTTGTTCTTGAGAAAGCTATAGAAATTCTGACTCCTTATCCTTTTATGTGGAAGCTTTTAAGATCTTCTCTTTGTATCCAGTGTTCTTAAATTTTGTAATAAAATTCCCATTCATCTACTGTGATTTACACTGAGGTGGCCTTTTCTATCTGGAAATGCATGTCCTTCACTCTAGAGACATTTTCCTGAATTATTGATTATTTTTTTCCCTTCTATTTCACTAATCTCTCATTCTAGGATATGGATTCCAATGTTGGATCTCCTAGACTGATCTTCCCATTTTATCTTTCTCTCTCCTTTTCCATCTTTTTGTCTTTTGTTTGATTTCTTAAAGATTTCCTCAAGTATAACTTTCAACCTTTTTGCTGTATTCTGCTATCATGTTTTAATTTCCAAAAGCTCTTTTCTATTCTCTGAATGTTTCTTTTTGCAAGGAGTCTGTTCTTAATGGTTGCATTATCATCTCTTGACTCTCTGAAAATGTCAGTAATAGGTTATTGTTCAAGTCTTATTTTTCATCCCTTATCTCTGTGTCCTCCAAGTTGTTCCTTTTTATTTGTTGGTTTTGGTCTATATCATCCATGTTGGAGGATTGCTCAGATGTCTGATGGTGATGTCTGTTCATGATTAAGAGTAAGGAATTAAAAATTTGTTTGGAGGATCTAAGTCTATGGGTGGGCTTGTTAACTTTACCATTACAGTCAAGGGATCTGGATGGGCATTTATGGGGGAACCATATTTAAATCTTTCCTCTTCAGTTGGTAGTTTTCCTGTATCTTGGTTGGAAGGTGGAAGTCTGGCTGTCAGCACTTTGGGAGTCACGTGAGAGAAAAGAGAAAAGCAATATGTGCACATGTGATAGTGGTGGGGTCTCTGCAGGCTTTATTAAGTATGAATAAATTTACGTAATCTATGTTTTCAGTATGGTAACTCCATCCTCAAATGTGTGAGATATTTCCCAATTCAAACACTTTCTGCTTTACCCTCTCCATAGAACAAGACTCCTGACTTCTGCCAAGATGGGAGAGGGGAGTTGCCCAGTGGTGTGGAGTGGGAAAGGAAAGTGCAGCTCTAACTATCACACTTCTACCCAGTCTTCCTTATTTTGGCCCTTATCTTTTCCCTCAAACTTCCCCTCAATTGGTTCTTGGTCCTACCAGTTCCTGAGGCTTTTGATGGTTCTGGAGTATAAACTGGATTGTTTCTTGGGTTTCTGCACTGACAGGTTAGACTTGGCTGTCCTGCCTTATTAAGTTAGTTACCACTCAACCATCTACTTTTCAGATTCCAAACTTGTCTCCTTTCCTATTCTTATACTTTTAAATTTGTACACTTAAGTTAAAAAATATTTTTTCTTTAGTTTTAGTGGAATTTTAGAAGGTGATAAAATTAGATGTATGTATTTAATCTATCATTGTACCTGGAACTCCACTATTCTAGGATTATACCATTGAGTGCCTCCAGTCTAACATCCAAAGTCATCAACAATGTGACTTGAAACTAACCCAACTATACCAACCTTATTTTCCCCTCTTCTTTTATTAGAAACCATGGTACTGCCAGATTTAGCTACTAATAATTTCTGAAATATAGCCTGTATTATCCAGATTGTTTCCATTTACACTATTCTGTATCTCTGGAATATTTCTTCCCATCTCTGTCTTTGTTTACTGGACCCTTTTTTTTTTTAACTTTTTAAAGTTTATTTGTTTATTTTGAGAGAAACAGAGAGAGCATGAGGGGGGAGGGGCAGAGAGGAAGGGAAAGAGAGAATCCCAAGAAGGCTCTGCACTGTCAGAGGCTCCAATGCAGGGCTCGAACCTCACTAACTGTAAATTCATGACCTTAGCCAAAATCAAGAGTCAGACACTTAACTGAGCCACCCAGGCGCCCCTAATGGACTCTTGTTCATCATTAAAACATGGCTCAAATACCACTATGTCTGTTGGACCACACACCTTACAGCTACCCAGGCTGCACAGTAACACCATATCCTTGGATCACAGAATGCCCCTCCCAGCAGTAATTCATTCCTATC